TCTCTGCTGGAGGATCTGGGTCTGTCCACGGTGGACCGGTCTCTGCTTTGGCTGAGAGTTGTCCACATCAAAATGTCGTTATCAATGTGTGTCGTCCTGATACATTTTTGGAGACGACGTGGTTTCTTTCTTTCCCTCCAGACTCGTGGATCTCCCAGTCGGCTTCAGTCCCCCGCAACCAGAAACAGACGGGGGTCGACTCTCCGGCCTCCTCTCTGCCCAAACCTCCAGGCCAGTCTTCCTCGTCTACATCCTCCTCAGGCTCTCAGCCTCAGCCCAGGACGGTGAAGGTGATCCACTCTTTATTCCAGAGTATATATTTTCATATTCTCCCAAACACACTGCAATCAAACTCCACTGTAGTAGTAAAGGGTACGATATGAAATACCTCTTAATACATTACAGGTAAAAAGAAACGATGTTGGTTAGAAACACAGGTTACAAAAAATCTAATGAACCCAAGTGACTCCAAGGAGCTTATGTATCTAATTAGCTTTCAATAACTGATCAATGATATTGCCAAACATATAATTAGGAGCGAGTCTGTCAATTGTTTATTTCCTCCTGTTAACGGTATATTTCCTGTTATAAAATCAATACAGTTTATTTGGAAGGAACACAGCGGCAGTTTGAGCAATAGAACATTTAATAGACTCGTTCTTTCTCTAACCCATTTGTCTTTGTTCAATTGAATGAAAGCCAGCCGCCGTTTACAGGAAGGTGTGCAGAATTACTTGTTGCCCTGCAGTGAAGCCTTCTTTGTTTTCTCCCAGGTGACCTGTGCCAACTGTAAAAAGCCTCTGAAGAAGGGCCAGACGGCGTACCAGCGTAAAGGCTCCACACACCTGTTCTGCTCCACCACCTGTCTGTCTGCCTTCTCACACAAGCCCGCCCCCAAGAAGAGCTGCACCATGTGCAAAAAGTGAGTCCAATAAACTCAAATGTTTACGTTTCAATTAAAGGAAAAAAACGTGTTTTTAAGGGAATTTACAGCAGTTGTGCATCAGATGTCACATTTGTTAATGTTTCTGTGTCGTGTGTTTTCAGGGACATCACGAACATGAAGGGAACCATCGTGGCCCAGGTGGACTCCAGCGAGTCCTTCCAGGAGTTCTGCAGCACCGGCTGCCTCGGAGCGTACGAGAACAAGCAGAACCCGCCCAAATCGGGGCTCAAGACCAAATGCACCGTCTGCGGGAAGCTCACAGAGGTCAGTCCGTCTGATGAACTCCTCCTCTGTCCGTCTATACAGCCGTTAAGTGTGCAGCTGTGTGTTCGCGACGTACTGCGGTCTAGAGGCGTCTCTAATAGTCTGGATCCCTCAGAACATCGCAAACATCCTTCAGTGTAACGCAGAGACACTCGGACACTTGTTGGGTTTCACCTTCTCTTCATTATTTACATCCTCAGATGTTTGTTTTCAAAGGAGAAGTCCTGTTGCAGTTATGTACAGCTTCTCACCCTCTTGTCTCTTAATCCTCTGAACCGTCACGTTTCTCACTGTGGTCTTGATATTCTCTCTGTAACATAAAGTCCTGCTCCTCTAGGAAACAGAAGAATCATGACTAGAAGTAGAGAGAACTCCAACATGTCCTTAGTGCAGAATAACCGTTATGACTTAAATCATAAACAATTAGTTACATTTCTTTGGTAATGTTTTTCACACATTCTGGTTAAAGCAGAAGGTTTATCTGAAGCAAGATTTTATGACACAAGTAGAATCAAATGTTTTTGATGAAATATCACAATTTTATCATTTCCATCAATTTTAATCAATACCATGATGTGTTCAAGGGCTGTGGGAAAGATGAAAATCTGACGCTGATGTTTGTACAGTCTGGCTGTGATGAACGATGTAGTTTTGCCGATTTGTTTATAGAAAACATGCTTTTTAATTCCGCCGGTAGGTCCAGAGGGTTAATGAAGGATCTCTGATCACCGTATTATTCCATCTGTCTCCACGTTTACCGTCTTCCTCCTCGGCCACTCACTTCCATTCAATATTCATCTCCTCCTTCCTCCTCCTGTCATCACGTTTCTCTGCTTCACTCTTCTTTCTTGTCTTCTCAACCGTTGCTCAGATATTTGGAGAATAGTTCCTCCTGAATTTTCCTTCCTGAGCTGGTGGTTGTCCAGAAACGCATTCAGTGAGCTCACACATGCAGCGTTACTGTTACCTGCATCTCTGTGTGGCTACTTGTGACATAAAATCATTTGCATTATTTATGTCTCCTCCTTCAACTCATTTGCATATAAAAGCAACAGCTGGGCTCCTGCAAAGCGACCCTGGAATGATTTGCACATTTTAATGAATACATAAAACAAAATATGATTTATTTTCCCTGTCATTTCTTCTAGATTAAGATTTTAATAATTTAGATTTTAATTGCAGTCGTGGCTTGTTATACGGGCCGTCTGTAGGGATTGAAAGGGCACATTTGTGCGTTCATGCTCAGTTAAACAGACAAACGCATGCAAGAAGGCTGTTCACCTGAAGGAGAAGCCTCTGTTTTCACTATAGGAGGATTTATTGGAAAGTTAGTTTGTACGAAGCCTGAGCTCCTCTGGAACTGAAGGGACCGTAGTGATGTGCAGTAGTGTGGTTGTATAACTTACTTCTGCACAATACGGCTTATTCATAAGAGGTGAATGATGTTCTTGCTGCATTTCTCTCTCCGTGTCTCCAGATCCGGCATGAGGTGAGCTTTAAGACCGTGACCCATAAGATCTGCAGCGACACGTGTTTCAACGTGTACCGCCGGGCCAACGGGTTGATCATGAACTGCTGTGAGCAGTGTGGCGACTACCTGCCCAGCCGAGCGTCGGCCAACCACTTCCTGCTGGTGGACGGCCAACAGAAGCGCTTCTGCTGCCAGAACTGCATCAGGGACTTCAAGCAGGTACTGTGGGCCCCGAGCGCGGGCTGCAGGTGTGTTTCTACACGCCTGATGGGATTCAGTGAGATCGTTAGACTACAGCCATTTAAAATGGCTCAAAGTTGCTGTTTTTTATTATTTAAGCTGCTTCTCACAGCCAAGAAGCTGCCCCACAGCAACTGAAATGTAAATGAAATGTTACGAGTCGTTCTATTCACATTTTTACCCAACGTGTTACAACCAAATTGCGTTGCTAGGCAATATTAACCAGAACTTAGATGTTGGGATTGTATTTGTTGCTTGGCAACACCGTCTTATTAGACATTCCACTAATAAGTGGAGGAAACTATGGAGACTCATTTCATAACGTTATGAATGTGTTTCTCAGGCCTCCGCTGAGCTTCTAAATGAGTTATTGTTTAATATCTGACGAGCTGTGTTCTCTACGTGTCTATGAACGTACAGAAATATTTAAAATAGTTCCTCTAAAGAGGAAGAACCACAACTTTTACCAACAGGAGACTAATTATAAATGCTGTTATGCCTCTCAGAATTTAAATAAATGTATTAATTACAGTTTTGCACCATGAGAATAATCACCTATGGTCTCATTGAAAGTAGAAATAAAGGAATAATACATGGTTCCAGGTCTTACAGCACGTACTGAAGATGCTGAAGTAGATGTCCAGGTGTGACGCTTCTCTCTGATCTAATAACAGGACAAAGAGTAGAATCACTGAACAAACACAGACTGTTGGATACATGTGAGGTTTCTACGGTTTGCTCCTCTAATGCTCGTAAGATGTCGAGGTTTACTCAACAAGTCACAATCCGCTCTGGATTCCCCGACAAACTCATTAAAACCTTTTCCTCCACAGAAAAGGATCCATCGGGACTCGATCTGTAATAATCTATTTTTGAGTTGAGCTCAGAATTTAATGTTTTTTACGTGTTCTAAATTAAGCAAACGGTTTATTTGTTAGATTTTAAATAAGACTCGTAGAATAACATGTTTTTGGGTGAAATATCTTAATTTTAAGCTTAGTTTCGTTTGCTTTTTCTGACGGAACTGTTCGTCACACATGATGTGTTCAAGGACCGTCGGAAAGATGAGAACCTGACGATAATGACGGCTTTTACAGTTTCTCGCTGCGATAAACGGTGTAGTTTAAAAAACAAAAACATACTTCTCCATCCCGACGGCAGGTTTTTTGGGGTTCAGAGGGTTGAACTTAAGCATCCTAAATGTGTCCCAGTTGATTAGTGATTGCAGTGGATGCGAATGACGTCCAGCTGACGGGAAGTAAACCCAAGCCTTAAAACAAGATAAAAAGAAGCGTTTCAGACGGAGGGTGAACACTGGTGTATTCAGACCGACGGTTTGAGAGCAATAAAGAACACGATGTGATCGTGAGCACGATGCGTCTCCTTTAAATGAAGCTTTTCGAGGTTTCTTGTTGTTTTGACGTGGTGTGTTTTTTATTCCCTCGCTCTTGTCTCAGGCTCACAGTAAACTTGCGACCTGCCTGACGTGCAAAACGCTGATCAAGACCGGCGAGGTTCTGCACAGCCTCGGAGCGGGCGGCACCATGGGGTCCTACTGCTCCGTCAACTGCATGAACAAGGGCAAGCTGGCGTCAACCTCCTTCATCAGTGAGTAACTGAGACTGTAACACAGAAACTAAACAGTCAGGGTTATTATCTTTACATGTATCTCAAACCCAAACGTACGTTTCATTGTTCACATGTTACCTCGTTTCATAGACCAGTATAGCAGCTGTTATAAAGAGTTCTGCACAGTTCCACAGGTCCCATAATATTAAGTTATTTCCCTGTCTGAACGTGTTTTAAGTTTCTTTGTCCTGATGGTAAACGCTCCTGTTGAACTGTATCATTACGTGTAATAATACTTTTGTAACGTCTGTGTGTGCAGACACAGAGCCGTCGTGTCACTTCTGTAAGAGGAACTCGTTGCCGCAGTACCAGGCCACGCTGCCGGAGGGAAACATCCTCAACTTCTGCAGCTCTCAGTGTGTCACCAAGTTCCAGGTGGGCGGACTCTCTTTACATCTCACACCAGTAGACACATTTATCCTCCTCTTTACTTAGAAACTGGTTAAACTAGTCGACATTGTTGCTCTGGATTATTTAGCTCATTAGCGTCTTTCCACAGCAGTCAAAGCAGAGTAAACGCATTAATGAATTGCATTATGGTCACATTCAGCATGCACAATCCCAGCGCCCACCTAAATAATAATCATAACAATAACTTTATATACATTGCTCCTTTTAAAAAAGAGAGTTTACAAAGTGCTTTGACAGAGTAAAGCTAAAGTTTACCCTGATTAAACTGTACAGTTAATAAAACATGAAAACAATCGATACGCTGAGAACAAACTAAGAAATATAATATTAAAAAAATATATTTAGTAAAATAATATCTAATAAAATAAAGCAGTAAAGCGACGACATCACATAAGAACCAGTCTGTAAAAATGTGTTTTCAGAAGTGATTTAAAGGTGATTACTGATCCTGAGAGCTTCATCTCCTCAGGCAGGTCGTCCTGGGGTCCTGATGGCAAAATCACGGCCACCTTTTAGTTTTTACCCCACCTGATAAGGGCTCAACCAGTCCTCTACATATGCTGGACCCAGACGTGCTTTAAAAGTGAGGACGATGCAGAATATATAGGATGCATGCAAACTAATCTCATTTACATAGTTACGATGATTGGATCGAACTAGACTTGACTGCCGGTTGGTGTTTCCAATGCAGAGCTGACCCTCGTGTCCCAATTCCTCCTCAGATTAGTAAAGACATTAAACCCAGATTAACAGTTATCATCCGCTCATGTGACGCGTCCTCCTGAAAACCAGCAGCTCCAAAACACATGAAGCAGCACCGGATCCCTCGTGGAGTCCATGACCTGATTAGTTGTTCAGCACCGTTAATTGACTTATTAACGAGAAAAGAGTTTGTTTGTCACGAGTCCATTTCTGTTTATGACACAAGAGTTCACGTAACGCCACCAAGACGAGCTTGTGGGCGTAGAAATATTTGCAAGTCGAGTGTAAATTAACTCCGTTAAAGCTCGAAGTACAACCAGGTGTGTTATGGAAGGCCGTTAGACTCGCCAGCTGCTGCTCATCACAAGTTCTTTTATTTCCTCTGTTCTTTTTTTTACAGAACGCTTCTCTTCAAACGACCACCAACGGACAGACGGCGCTCTCCACAACGAACACCACCACCGTCCAGCTGAAGTGCAACTACTGTCGAGGAGCGTTCAGCCTGAAGCCCGAGACTCTGGAGTGGGAGGTGAGACCGTCCTGAGGAGTCCCGCCGTCATTTTTATCCAGATGTCGCAGGCTGAAGTGTTTTTCTGACACAAAGATGAGATGAACCTTTAATGATCCTCAGAGGGGACGTCCAGGTGTTGCAGCATCAAGACAGAAACAAATAGAGAAACGTTAAATACAAGTACAGTGGAAACTGCTTGTATGGATAAACAAGCTTGGGACAGAATCATTCCTCAAATACTGTTTAAATAATGTGCTTAAAGTAATCAAGTAGTCTGCTTACAGTGTTCTTTATTCTTTTCATACTTCACTTTAAATAGGCCGTTAGCCTGTGTCTTATTATAATGTAAACATTACATAAACAGTCCAATAGAGTGATCTAACGGTGTCTGTCTTCAGGACAAAGAGTACCAGTTCTGCAGTAAGACGTGCTGCGAGGACTACAAGAAGCTGCACTGCATCGTGACCTCCTGCGAGTACTGCCAGGAGGAGAAGACGCTGCACGAGATGGTCAAGTTCTCTGGAGTCAAGAGACCTTTCTGCAGTGAAGGTATTGATCTCCTCTCTACGACATCTCTATTTACATATCTGAAGTTTTCTATCCAGGATTTAGCGTTCTTGCTTCCAGTTTGAGCGTTTTCTATTTTATTCATCATCTGACCTTTGTGCTATTTGCTTTCTTTATGTCTTTTTGTTCCCCAGGCTGTAAGCTGTTATTCAAGCAGGACTTTATAAAGCGGTTGGGTCTGAAGTGCGTCAGCTGCAACCACTGCAACCAGCTGTGTAAGAGAGGTCTGACCCGGCAGCTCGGCGGCATGACGCGGGACTTCTGCAGCGAGGCCTGCTCCAAGAAGTTCAACGACTGGTACTTCAAGGTCCGTACCCACCGTCAGAAATGAGCACGAATGTACGCAGGAATACGTTGTTTCCTGTTGTGAAAAGGTTCCTCTTGTGGCCACTAGGCGGCGAGGTGCGACTGCTGTAAGGTTCAGGGGAACCTGACGGAGTCGGTGATGTGGAGATCAGAGATGAAGCATTTCTGTGACCAGGAGTGTTTGCTGAAGTTCTACTGCCAGCAGAACGAGCCCATCATGGTCACTCAGAAGGGCCCCGAGAACTCCACCCTGGGTACGGTGGGTGGGTGGGTCCTTTGGAGGAGCTAAACTAATGACCCTCTGCACATTTAGTTTCCATGTAACCTAACCAAATATTAAGGAATGAATTACAGCGATCGACAGAAAAATATTCAACTATTTTGATAATCTAATAATCGTTAAAGTTGTTTTTTATGCAAAAATGGCAGAAAAAGCTGTTTTCATCCTCAAATATGGAGATTTCCTTCTTTTCTCTGATTTGTAATGAAGTGAATATCTTTGGGTTTCCGTGACTCATGACGTATTTTGTTTTCCTCTTCACAGGTTATGAAATGCACGGAGCCAAACTCGGGGTAAGAATAAGGATCAAATCTGTAGGCAACAGGACAGTATTTTGGTGTCTGAAGCGTTGTTTCTATTTGTAGTCCTCAGAAGTGTTGACGGATCACATCTGAGCTTTGGCTGAACGCAGGTTAACAGTCTGTGAAGAGCAGAAGAGGCGGAAATGCAATCCGGGAACCGATCAGTTATCGACCGACGATTTAGCTTCTTATTTTATTTAGAGTTTTAACTGTTAAAGCTTTGCTTATACGCGAGCATGCTCAACGTGTTCTACGTTAGAGGAAGTAATAACCAAAGTGAACGAGTGTAACCGACAAAACACCATAAACCAACCTCCACTATAGAGAGGAGGGATATTAGAAATATTTATATTTTTACTTTACTTCTGTCCTTGACAAACATCCCATTGTTGTAACTCTCCACACACTAAGAAGTATTTAGTATGATCAGAAGCCTCATTCCTGTGTGTTTTATCGTGGTCCCTCTCGTCTCTCGTCTCTGCAGCTGGTGAACCAGGGCACGGTGCCGTACGCCGGCGGAGGTTTGATGAGAGACGTCAAGAACAAGGCGGTGCTCTGCAAGCCGCTCACGCTGACCAAGGCCACTTACTGCAAGCCGCACATGCAGAGCAAACTCCTCCAGACAGGTAAACCACGCATCTCTCTCAGGAGATGAACTGTGTCGTGTTGTTCATATGTTACACACTATTAATTAGATAGGTCGTATGATGATGGAGGGAGGAAGTGTAAGTTTTCACTTGAGCTTGACAAGTTATTTGTTTCCTCTCGCTCTTCAAAGTCATCACGTCGTGACCCATTGATACACACTGATTTGCGTTTTTTTATTCATAAATCTATATAAAATGTTACGGTTTCGGCGTATCTGTGTCCACAGATGTAGACGATGGTGTGAAGAGGGAGTATATTCCTGTACCCATACCCGTGCCTGTCTTCATCCCCATGCCCATGAATATGTACTCTCAGCTCACTCCCACTCCAGTCTCTCTGCCTGTTCCGGTAAGACCCGATGAACACGTGAGGATTATTCATGCTCCACGGAGGAGACTTGTTTAGTGAAGGTGTTAACAAATCAATAAAAGCCTGTATAGTTAGTGGTTTAATGCCAAACACAACAATAATATACTTTTTAAAATGTGTTTAGTGTCAATCAAGCAAAGTGAGGAGACATTTATCAATGAAAGCTCCCGTGTTCCTCGTCCCGTCCAGATCCTCGTCCCCCTGTTCCTGCCCACCACCCTGCAGGGGGCGGAGCAGATCATCCAGACCATCAAGGAGCTGAAGAACGAGGCCGACCTGCTCTCCATGGCTGAGATGATTGCAGAGGACCAGAAGCCAGGTATGAGAGGGTGGGATGGAAAGTATCGGACGTTTAAGATGATGGTTTAGTGCTTGTGATGATGAACCGTGTAGCTGAGTTGTCGTACTACAATTGAGTAGAAGTCACATTCACACTACTCGGCTTACTGTCTTGTAATTGAGTCTTTAAGTCAGAGAGCTGCACGACTATGGCCCAAACTATCATTTTGATCCATATTGCGATGTTTTAGGGACATTTAAATAAACAGATCATTGCTTTCACTTCCATGTCATGCTGCATTCCTACTAATGTACAAATCTATGAATCAAAACTAGACTCTGTCTCCTAGAAGCAGAATAAAAGTGTGCACTGCTTTCACTTTCACTTAGTGCTAAATTCCTGCTAATTAACTAATCGTTGCATCAAAACCAGGTTCTTCTTCAACATGCAGTAGCCTGTATTATTACTCTTCTAGTCTGCAGCTTCAGCTCCTCACAAGTGAGGCCAAAACATCTGGTGACTGGCTCGTAGCATTTAAAACAATGTTCTGGTTACAAAGTTACTAATTTAACAAAAGGTTCAGTTTGGTTTGAAGAAAGCTGCTGGAAATGATGACGAAGTGTGTTTCAGACGTGAAGCTGGTGACGGTGAAGACGGAGCGCAGAATGGAGGCCTCCAGCAGCAGCGCTGAGGAAGAGGAGGAGGAGGAGGAGAAGCAGGCTGAGGAAGAGGAGGAGGAGAAGCAGGCTGAGGAAGAGGAGAAGCAGGCTGAGGAGGAGAAGCCGGAAGAGAAGCTGGAGAAAAAGGAGGAGGAAGAGAAACGGCAGCAGGGGGTGGAGGAGGAGGAGGCTGAGGAAGAGGACAAGCAGGCTGAGGAAGAGAAGCCGGAAGAGAAGCTGGAGAAAAAGGAGGAGGAAGAGAAACGGCAGCAGGGGGTGGAGGAGGAGGAGGCTGAGGAAGAGGACAAGCAGGCTGAGGAAGAGAAGCCGGAAGAGAAACAGAAGAAAAAGGAGGAGGAAGAGCAGCAGCAGCAGCAGCAGCAGCAGCAGGAGGAGGAGGAAGAGAAGCAGCAGCAGCAGGAGGAGGAAGAGAAGCAGCAGCAGGAGGAGGAAGAGAAGCAGCAGCAGGAGGAGGAAGAGAAGCAGGAGGAGGAAGAGAAGCAGGAGAAAAAGGAGGAAAAGGAGAAGGAAGAGGACAATTACGAGCCCGACCTGGACCTGGAGGCGGACTTCCCTCAAGGTAAACACCTTCTGCACATGTAGAAGATGTTTACTACATCCCTTATTAAAACTAAGGCTATAAAATGATTCCAAAATAAAATCCAGATTAAACTGCTATTGACTGAGCTGCTGCAGGTGTAAACGGTCTGTTGAGTGTTAATGGACCCGGCTGTTTCCTGTCCCAGCCTCAGACCCTGTCCCAGTCCTGGAGGGGATGGACGAGGACATGGGCTTCTCTCTACCTCTGGTCCTGGCTGAGGAGTCGGAGGAGTCGGCACCTCGACCGCAATCCAGGAGACAAGTACGCACACGCACACAAACGCATGTGACGAGCAGAACCTTTGACCTTTTCTGTGTAGTAACTCTGTTTCTGCTGCAGGGGAACAAGAGGCGGGCGTTGGAGGAGGGCTCAGATCAGACCTCGTCCACTTCCTCTCATCCCACAGACCGACACTCGGAAGGACGGTCGCTACCTCTCAGAGCTCGCTACGGCGTCAACGCCTGGAAACGCTGGGCGCTGTCTCCTTCTGACCAATCAGAAGACACCAAAGTAAAGGACGGCTCCAAACCTGGTAAGCTGAACCTGGATCGCTGCGTTGCTTGGCTGGAAATTAAATAATGTTGATTGTACATATTTGAGGACACGTAGGATGTGTCTGTGCTTCGTCTCCTGCAGCCCGGTCTAAAAGTAACCTGTTGTCGCTGAGTTCAGAGGAGCTGAACGTGGCTCTGTCGAGGTTTGTCAGGGAGGTGTGCCGGCCCAGCGGAGAGCGCTACTCTCCAGACAGCATCCTCTACCTCTGTCTGGGGATCCAGCAGGTTGGTACCAAAGCCGGAGGGTCTTACTCTACTATTTCCCTGATTATGTGCCGCCAACTCGATTCCCGTCTTTGTCGAGGAAGAGGAGAGAGGAGTCGAGGCAACGGGCATTTAACAAATAAGACATCCTCGGACCGTCAAGTGTGTTAAAGCTGCATTCTCTCTAGTGACCACCAGGGGGCGACTCCTCTGGTTGTATAGAAGTCTATGAGAAAATGACTCTACTTCTCTCTTGATTTATTACCTCAGTAAACATTGTAAACATGAGTTTATGGTCTCAATCTCTAGTTTAAGTCTTCTTCAATACAGCATGATGTTCATTTAGTACATTATGGTCCATTTAGAGTCAAACAGACCATAAAGCAGGGGATGCTTTAGGGCGGGGCTACACAGTGATTGACAGGTCTCTACTTTTATTCTCTCTTTATTTCACTGAGGAACAGGAGCCTCTTTGTGATGAGCTCAGTTTTTAAAAGCAAAAGAAAGAGACAAAGAAGTTACAGACGTTGACACCTCTCTGCTGTCGGTATAAAACAAAGGAATATATTCCACAAAAATACTTATACTTATACTTAAAATACAAGTATCATTGTTTCACCAACTAAAATATCCATTTAGGATTGTACTTAAACTTTATAGGCATCTACACGCAGTAAAAAGATTTGGCCTCGTTAACTTTCCTTCTTTGTTCTATTAGAATTCCTTCCAGTCGTTTTAGAGGTAGGAACTAAAGTTAGAGGGAGTGTTTCCGGTAGGACAGGGATTACTGGTGCGCAGTCTTCACCTCCTGCTCCCTCACATGTGAGCAGCAGCAGCAGCACGATGGCTGCACAGTGGAGCACAGGATTGTTCAGAGTTGTCTGGAGGGAGGTTTATCTGTCAGGAGAATGTAAGATTGATTTTATCTGTTTGTTAAAACTAACAAAACTAATCTTTTAAACTTTATGTGACGTTTGATCAAGAAATGTAGACTTTAAAATGTCTCTGACCTTCTTCTGGGCCTTGCTGCTGTACTTCCTCCTCTTTTCTGTTTTTAAATGTCAGTAAGTTTATTTGTGTTTGTGGTTTATTAGAGGTGAGAATTCTTATGTTACTATGTACTATTTCGTGCATATTTGCGTGTCCTGTGATTATAACTCTTTGCTGTTCACATTCTGAAAAAACACAGTGATGATTATTTTAAATATGAGGACACCAGAGTTTGATCTCTGCACATTGTAGCTATTTATTTGACCTTTTTTTGTAATTTAATGACTTTACTTTGTGTGTTTTTGAAGCATCTTCACACCAAAGGCCGGACGGATGACCTGTTCAGTGACTCGAGTTACCGGCAGTTTGGAGAAGAGCTCAACAAGGTCCTGAAGGACTGGCAGCCCAGCGTGCTCCCTGATGGTGAGACTCATGTTTGTTCAGCAACAAATTACTGTTAACGGGATTCTTTCCTTTACCTTTTTAAACTGCCACATAGTCAATCGATTACAACCACGATGCACAAAATATAATGACAAAAAAGTAAAATTCAGAGTCAGATTTGGATCCAAAGACTTTAAAGTAGCTGCCGGAGGAAGTTAGTTTGATGGCGCTGCTCGTTAGCACCACCTGGTGGCTGTTAAGCTGCACTTCATCCGTGTCCCGTGATTATAAAACTCTTTTGCTGTTCACATTCTGATTCCTTGTGATTGCACTATGATGACATATGAGGACACCAGCAGGTTTGCTCATTAAATACAGGAAGTAGTTTGGTATTTGTGAAGAAGCATTTTTGATGGATACTTTATTAATCCCGCAAGGGGAATTTATTTTATTTTTATTTTTTCCCCAAGACACCCAAAAATGTAGTAAAATGCATTTTACAGATGGATATTCACACATTAACAATTATATAAATCATAAAGAAAAATGTTATTAATAAAATGAAATAGAGTTATACGTAACAATTATTTATTTATTGCACAATTATTTATTTATAACACAAACCAGAAGAAAATAAATGACGAATTGTAAAAAAAAATTACACTAAGTACACTAAAAAACAACCTTAGTGATGTATAAATATGTACACATACCGTGTAACATACTTGCATATATACACACAAAGACAAATACAATTAACCAGGTGAACACTTTATCTGAAGGAAACTTTCCTCACATCCCATAATCCTGTATCCAGCCAGTCAAACATGGTGCACTGCGGGTTTGATTTGAGGTCATAAATGGTGCATTTTAACATGAAATAAAACATGAGTCTAGATTAATGCACTCGTATTCATTTAATTTCTAATACTATTTGACTGAAGTTCTTGTGTGAATTTGGTTACTTTTGGTCCAAAAATGTTAAATGTTAAAGAAATGAGTCTAATATTAGATGCATGTCGTTAAAGTCTGCAGAAAGATGTCCTGCACCAATAAAAACACCATCACTAAGCCCCTCCCTCTTTCCTTCCCTCCAGGCTCCCTGTGGGGTCGAGTGGAGGAGCAGAGTCTGTGGAGCAGCCGGCAGCTCGGCGAGCAGAGTCCGGCCGCTCTGCTGCGCTCGCTGGTCTACCTGAACACCAAATACTTCGGCCTGCGCACCGTGGAGCAGCACCTCCGCCTCTCCTTCGCCAACGTCTACGGGCCCGACACCGTCCATCCTGTCACCAAGGAGCCGGCCGTCTGCATCCGCGTGCCTTCCATCTCTCAGGACCACCACGGTGAGGCGGCCGACACCGACGAATCACACGCTGTTAGATTGGTGAAATATCGGCTCTTGGTGAAAAGTGTCGATGCTGATCTTGTGTTTTTGTCTTTCAGTGCAAAGCGAGTCGCGGAAGAGGAAGCGTACTCTGGAAGACGGCGATCAGGACTACGAACCGGACGAGGACTCAGGAGGCTCCAGCGTTCGATGCCCGGTGAAGAAGCACGAGTGTCGCCTGTACGACCTCTACAGGTCCAAGTGGTGCGTTCACCGTCTGTACAAACATCTAATCGCCTTCATCACGGCCACGCTGTGTATATTATATCCTTATTTGAGTCAGAAGTCAAAGCTTCTTAAATTGTACTTTTGATCATGAAGACTGTAAATCAGTTTTATGCGACCAGAAGCCAAAGATGTAAAGTATAGAACGTATAAAGATTCATTGTTTTACATTTTATTTGATAAATGACACATTCTGACAAGTGTTTGGCTCCATTTTGCATCCCTAACTCCTTCCATCAGTCCTGTGATTATATCTCATTGCTGTTCACATCCAGACGTCTCGACAATGTTGACCATGAAAAATATGAGGACTTAACCACCGAATATCATTTCACTGTTTAAAAGTTCAGAACAATAGATTAACACTTCTCTCTCCCCCTTTTTCTCTCCTCATCTCCTCCTCCTGTCACACATTTCCTTCCTTGCTCTTTTGTTTCCATCCTTTTTTTAATTAAATAAACCTCCTTTACCTTCCATCTTTCTTGATTCTTCTTCTCATCTGCTCACTTTTTCCTCTCTCCTTTCCTTCCTCCTCTCTCCTTTACCTTCCTCCCTCTCTCCTTTCCTTCCTCCCTCCAGCCCGGCCTTGTTGCGGGAGCGTCTGGACGTCTTCTACGTTCAGCCGGATCCGTCCTGCGGTCCCGACGACCCGCTGTGGTTCAGCTCCACGCCGCTGGAGCGACAGCTCCTGCAGAGCCTCCTCACCAGAGTCCTCCTGGTCAGAGACGTTTACACGGACAAACACCACCTGGACGAGGAGGAGGAGGAGGGGGAGGAGGGGGAGGAGGAAGAGGACGGGGGAGAAGCAGCTGGGGGAGAGTAGCGGCCGCTTTGACTTCCGTTAGCAGAACTCTGAACTGTCGGCCGGGTGGGAGGAGGAAGAGGAGGATAGTGTTTCCTCCTCCCTCGTCTTTATCCCTCCTCCTCACTGACTTGCTGTCTCCTCCTGGTGAGGATGATGAAGGTGGTGATGAAGAGCAGCCCGAACTTCTACTTCAGCTGACAGAGAGAGGTCGTAAACCAGAGGACGAGCACAAAAGAGTCCTTTTTTTAATAAGACGATGAGTAAAAGAGGCGGAGCTGCAATTTAATAAACGATATTTAAACTTTTAACACACGATCACGCTTTAACAAAGGTCATTAGTGGCCACAAGGAGGCGAAGGGACAGCTGTGTCCTCTACGCTTCACCACCTCCTCGCCACCTTTCTGTGGATGAAGAGAGGAGAGAGCAACTTAACCAGAACCGCGACCCCCCCCCCCCCCCCCCCCCCCCCCCGGGGGAGGGGGGGGAGGGTGACGTGTCGAAACTCAAAAATCAGTTTGTACAAAAAATAGAAACGCAGCCAATCAGTTCTACTTCACGTTTCAGATTTCTATTATAAATTGTGAGTAAACACTAAATATAAATAGTGCAGACGTTCAGGTTTGACTCCGCCCATCAGTGATGTAATGTGGGGTAAAGAATTATGGATAAAACCAAATATTTAACAAATATTTGCTTTAAGGTTGTGAGTTTGAGACTTCTGCTCAGGATAAAGTCACGGTTCAGATTTACTCGTGAGGTCCGGAGGCGGGACAGGAAATGAGGAAGGTTGAGTTGTAAACACACTGGGGGATCTAGCGTGGAGAGAACGATGATGGAAGTGATTCATTTATCCCGTTTCATCGGCATAATTAATACGTTTATCACACCAGACTGAAAACACCGTCTGATTGATCTGATTAGTTTTTCTTATTATCTGCATCAGAACAGATTTTAGGGCCGCGTCGTTGGGCCTGATCGTACCTTTTTATTATTGCAGGGAATACTGTGAGGTCACCAAACTGAGTGTCCAATAAGAATGGTGAAAAAAAGCCTTAAATAATAGAACGGTGCGCTCACAGATGAGGTTATTCGCCTCCCGTTCACTTCCATTCAATGCAAGCAGAGCGGCAAATAAAACAGTAAAATATATAGAGACTCGGCGTCTTCTGATCATGTGGTCTAACGTTAGTGTCCTCGCTCAAAGTCCTGCAGCCTCCTCCTCCTCCTCTTCCTCAGTCAGGGCACTGGTTCCTCATTATATAACCGGCGCTGCTTTCATTCCTTCCATCCCGCTCACTCCTCTTCCTCCTTCATGATCTGCTCTCAGGCGACAAATAAACCCCCCACGGAGGACTTCAGGAAGTCCGGGGCCGTTAAAGGCGACCTTGCCGACATGCTGCGTCTCTCTTTGAGGACTTTAGGGGAACCTTTCATTCGTGCGATGTAGCATTATTGTGACGTTTTTGAAGTGTAAATATCTCCCGAGTCGACACAAAGAAACTCCTGAAAGCTTGAGCTTGAATAAGAACACACCTCCCAGAAGCCTTTCAACACACGGACTGATTATTTATTTGCGTTTTATTAGTTTGACTCTTTACGTTGGGACTTTTGTGGGTGACGCTTTCTTCTCGACATTGAAAACCTGCTGCAGCCCGTCGCCTCTTATTATTTTATAATTTGAGGTAAACATGAAGGACAAAGATCATTCAGAGCTCCAGATGTTTCCGTTCTGCTTTCGTCCTCGTGTTTCTACCGTCTGTCTGTTCCGCCTCTTGTTTATAAACTGAGCATCTCTTCTTCTTCCAGCTGTTTGTAGAGTGCTGTTACTGCGCAGCAGACGCTTACGTTGTGTAAAAGGTTGGGTTGGACGTGTGAATTGTTTTTCTTCATGTTTTCTATCCATTGTCTGTTTCTTTGACATTTTATTTATGCGGTTAAAAGTCCTTTTTCTACTTTTTTTTTTTTTTTTTTTTTTTTTTTTACTTTGACTTTTTGAATGTTTCAATAAAGTTGAACGAGTCATCAAGTTTAAAATCAATTGAAGGATTATTTGAGTTTTTTTGTTTTTTAGTCTTCTTTTGGTCGATTATGTTTTCATTCAGAGGGAGAATATTCTTGAGACGTAAAGCTTAAGTTTACAGAATGTCCTCCAGATGTTGAGTCTGACGCTCGTGTACCACGAGGATTACAGAGAGAACACTATTTTATCTAAAGAGCAGTTGTTCCTGTTATTTTGTCCACTCGTCTAGCAGTGCAGCGTAACATTTCAGGAAGACAAAGGTTTTGTGGATTCGAGAGAACACTGACACCAGATCAGCCCCCAGAACCTTTTTAAAAGCGACCCGGATCAGAGGACCCCGGTTCACCTGGCTGATTATTATTCCCTGCTGGACTCGAGAGGCTGTGACGCCTCATGTGAATGTGCCTATCTGTAAATACTGAAAGTGAGTGACTGAGTCTGATGCTGTGTGTGTGGGCTGATCTGCTGATACGGTCATGTTAAATAAATGATTTCATTTTCTAACCAGACTCTGATAATGTCTTCTTTAGTTCTCTGGAGTAATAATGCTGACGTGGACATTAAAGGGAGCAGTTGGACACATACAAGTATTAACTGGCTGAACTGTCCCTAGGTGTGTTGAGCCGTGACCTTTGACTTTCATGTACTGAGATTATCTCTCAAACTTTTGCTGCTAATGCTTTTAATAGTGAAGGACTTCAGCTTAAAGCAACAAGGATCTTTCATTGTGTGTTGGTTCTGTTGCTCCCTGTGGACTAAAGCTGTAGTGTCTCTGAGCTCCAGACTCTCTTACTGCAGCGGGGGGGGGGGAGGATCTGGGTCTGTCCACGGTGGACCGGTCTCTGCTGGAGGATCTGGGTCTGTCCACGGTGGACCGGTCTCTGCTGGAGGATCTGGGTCTGTCCACGGTGGACCGGTCTCTGCTGGAGGATCTGGGTCCGTCCACGGTGGACCGGTCTCTGCTGGAGGATCTGGGTCTGTCCACGGTGGACCGGTCTGTGCTGGAGGATCTGGGTCTGTCCACGGTGGACCGGTCTCTGCTGGAGTCTGAGCTGAAGGAGTTTCTGGTGAACCTGCATGATTTTTAACTCTATAGAAACAGACCATCTTCTCTCTGATGGTCTGGTTTACTGATGGAGGTCTGATGGAGGATCAGGACTAAACTGAGACTGCAATTAAGAACTACAAACTAGTTCAGCTTTTAGGGAAAGCCACAAAATAAAACGGCATAGAAGAAAAGAAACGTCTGATTTTGGTGAACCAGGGTTCAACATGGGGCCTCTTCACTGTGTCCTGACCTTCCTCGCTATCATGTGCCTTTCTCTTTTTCTTTACAAGGTGCCAGGCGGACATGACACTGAGGCAGGGAGTGATATCTGAGGATGATTGACAGCAGGAGGAGGAGGTGTGGCCTGCTGACACCCCGGGGTCAGAGTCGAGAGACAGGAAGTCGCGTTGGAAGGAGGCCGGGTCAAAGTAAGATCTGCAGAGTGTATAAAACTTTTAGAATAAGCTTCAGTTTTAAACAAATGTTACTCAAACGAGAGGAAACGGTGCATCTGTTGGGGTCTATTTTCAGCGGCGGATCGATCCACATTTGGTGCTCTAGTGGCAGCAGGACGGTGTTCATGTTGATGAAGGAACATGACTGCTAGTGTTGTAGTCGAGACCAAGTCATGATCAAGACCAGAGGATATCTAGACCAATACTTTGGGGGTTGACTGAAACCATAGACTGTATTTAAGAAGTGGACGTAGTCGTGACGTCACTCATTGGTTTGTGGACTGCTGCTTTCAATCCTTGAATTCGGCATTTTGGCCGTCGACATCTTGTTTTTTTTCAACCAGTGAACAGGAAGTGACCATAACTGGACTGAGGAGAAGTGATGTAGAGACTCCGTAGCATCCCCTGCTTCATGGTCTGT